ACCTGTCCAGGATTCAGGTGTTCTATAGCTTTCTTCACAACGTCCATTGAATACCTGATCATTGCCACAGTGTGAGCACTTTCCAGGAAAAGTGGAAGCAGCGACGTGGGCAGATGACTCTACCCTCTGGTGGCTGTCGGCTGGCATGAAATGCAGCCCAATATGTGTTTTTATTGTCCAATGTACCAGTGGGAGACATCCCAGGGCGTGTTTTGCATTGCCTAACCAATGGTATTCTTCATCAGTCTACTGTTTGAAGTCTCCTTTGGTCAGTGACGCAACTTCAGCAGCTGGGACAGGCGACGTCTTGATGCTGCTAGTGACAGGGGGTACATCAGTATAATAGTGCGGCAAAGGGGCGACAGTCTTGGACCGTGCATCCCCAGATTCTCCAGCAACGAATATGCTCAGATTTACTCCTTCGCCAGTGTAAGAAGGATGTACGAGGGAGATAGCGGCACCATGGAAGGAGTCTTTTGATGTTGTTGCACTAGGATTGTGATCTATGTTATCTACAGCGGCAATTGTGAACTCTTCGCCACGCACTTTTGGAGGTCAGACCACTTGTTCTCTGTAAAATTGTTGGCAGACATGGTTGCCCATCTCTGCAGAGAGCTGGAGCACTGTATCATAAGAGATACTCAGGCCAAGGTGTGACAGTCTGTTGACCAGTTCCTTCTTGTGTGTATGAACATGCAACATCATCCTAATGTATGTTGGAAGTGGGGTCTCCTGTACAACATTATGCCTGACACAGGTCGATGATGTGGTGCCACGTGTTGGCTTGTGTTTGGCACAGTTGAACTTCAGTATCTAGGCTGCGGTAATTGCTGCAGGTTAGTGTCTGCCATCTGGTCCTTGATGCTGGGTCTCTCTAGCGTCATGCTGACTAAGGCAAGCAGCAACGATTGCAACAGATTCTTCTTGGCATCCTCCAGTGAACCCTGACGGCGACAAGATAACGACGAATGTAGATCGAGAAGCAGCCATGCAATGTAAAGTAGCCTTTTTGAAATCCAATATGGCGGCCCATCAGTACAAATACGCAATTCAGATTGCTACCATTGGCTTTCTTGACCCCAAAAACATACATTTAGACACCAAAATGAAGTCAGTAGCAGCATTTGACCCAGAGATAATCGCAAATGTAGATTTCAAATGGCGGCCATTTTGAAATCCAATATGGCGGCCATTAAGAGAGAAATCCGAGTGGCCCAATATCTGAAAATGATTTCAATATAATATGTTAATGTACATTTATGCCAAGTTTGGTGCTTGTATCATAAAATGCACAATAGGTTTGCTAAGCGGCCCCACTATTAACCTATTTATCTATTTGTTTATTCATTTTAAAATATGTTTTAGATTATTGTTTATATTATTTATTTGCTTTTAAAAACGGTTTTGTTGGGTCTGTGCATTCTTTCCTTTCTCCTCTTTTACAAACTTCTGTCAAAATTCTTTCTTTTAACTCTTTTTACTTCTGTCCTTTCTATTTTTTTGTTCTTGATCATTCTGTTTCTCTCTTTTTTTTCGTCTCCATTTTTCGTCCCTTTTTATGAAAACCACTTATCCTCCATTTTTTAAAAGACGTATGGTAGCTCAGGTTTAGGTGGTATCATGCTGGACTAAGGGGCGCATGGCCCTGCTGGTTCGGATCCCCGACTGGGCGTTCTTGGATTCGGTTTTTTGTGTGGAGTTTTCAGGGCTCTCAAGCCTTATGGTTGTGTTCTATCGTTAATTCAGAGGTCTGGTTTCTTTAAATAAAATGAAAATACAGTGTTGAATGAAACGGACGTTAAATCTATACATGTACTTACTTACCTTAATTCTGTGTAGCCCTGCCGACTGCAGTTGCGCAGTGTGAAGGGAATTTGCCTTATACGGAGTGCCAACTACGAATGGGATCGCTGGACTCGGTCTCCTAAAAAACAAACGTGTTTATTTTCAGTTTCAGGCGACCGAGTCAGGCGATCGGCCCGATCCAGCCGTTTTGGGCACCCCGTATTATATACGTGATTTCTGTGGCAATTAATTCGTTCAGTGTATCACAATCAAGTCTGTGGTGGAGCCGATAGGCGCTTCGCCGTTGCATGACGAAGACCTGAATTCGATTCTCATGCGTTTGTCTGTTCGGACATAGATTCTTTCTCAGCCAGGATTGGTTCTGGAAGGCAGGGTCAAAGCTCGTTCCGTCTCCTAAATGGTGGCTTTTAAGCACAAGGGGGCTATCCCGAAAAGTGCTGTTTAGAGAGAATCGAAGGTAAAGTTTCTGCCCCTTGTTCACTTTCTGTAAAAGACAAGGAGAGTTTTCTCTATAACCAAACAAATATACACACCAATGAAACCCAACTTCTCCTATGGGTAGGGTAATATCCTTTTGGTGTAGGTCAAGATTTCTGGAAACCCCGAAACCTAGGTTAGCCCGCTTTTAAAAGCAACCAAATGACCTAAACAGCGCTGATAGGGGTATAAAGACCCATGCATTAAAAAAAAAACCCCGCCAGTACAACTTCCCTGCTGAGACAATAAAGCAGTTCATTTAGCTGACGTTCTGAACGAATGTCGACCTCTCGCTGAGACGTCATTTTACCTTTCTTTTACCGCTCTCGTGTGCTTTCATTTTGCTTCAGGAAATTGATTTTTTTCCTGTGGTGAGATAGAAACGATGATTAGATTCTTTTAAAGGCCCCTGAAAATTCGTGTCCCTATTTAGTCCACTTCTTTCTTCTTCTTTTTCTTTTCTTTTTCTTTCTTTTTTTCTGCTTTTTGGTTTTTTGTTTTTTTTTGTTTGGACAGTTGCTCAATGTTTTAAAAAGGTACAGGCTTTAGTATAAAAGTCCGATATTTGAATGTTAAAGTCAGTATGATCTCGGGGGCTCAGTACATCAACAAGTAGGTCCTATGGTGTTCTCGCCTGTCAACCGAAGGACTGTAGTTCGATACCTGCCAGTGTCGAGTTTTATTTTCTTATGTTTTCTACACCACCTGGTCCAAGGGAAGGTAGAATCGAGCACATAGTCTTCTCGGATGAGCACGGAAAATTTCAGACGACCTGTGTGAAAGTTTCGCACTTTAAAACTCCCTTGACAGCTCTAAAATTGAAAAGAGTAGGCCCTTCGGACCCCCAGCCGGGCAAAATTCAACATTAGTTCCTACCCAGAAATGAAGCTACTCTAGTTAGTATTAATATTAATATTCGAGCACCTTCGAAATTGCACGAGGCTGCCTGTCAAGCAAAAGATGATTCCACGTTCTATGTACATAAGAGAGCCAAGTACTTAAAGATGAAGATCTTACAGTCAGTTACACTCTGAGCTGGTGTAAGAGACGAGTGAGATCATCTTCACGTGTCTTTACTGTTGTCGACTTTATATTCATCTTTCCTATTGACAGTCACTGGCGCCTGTGGTTTAGCGGTGAGGCACTTCGTCGTTGTACGCAGGAGACCCGGGTTCGATTTCCGGGTGAGGCAAATTTTTAGCCACTATGTTGATCTTTCTGCTTCGACGTTGTAGTCATCTCAGCCTGGACTGAGGACTGACCTTCATAGACAGAGTCGAATCCCGCCTCCAAAATGATCTAAATATTGTATCGATGGGGGCGTTAAATATATTTTACATTGAATAGAATTTGAAAACATTATTTTTTGTCATCGCAGTTTGTAAAACCAGGATACTTGTAACATTGAAACTGTGCTTAATATATCTGACCGCCTGTGTTGACGTGCCATTTTCCAATAAGGCTGAAAAAGATGTATGAAAGGGACCAGGTTTGTACAAAAAAATAATATAATAACTATTTCTACACTTGGCACTTCTTTTTGGCGGCGCAGACGTTTAAATAAACCTTTTGTTTTCAATTTTTCCACGCGAGTACATTGACACTTATTTCAGTCTTTGTTAGAGCTGTAAAGGATGATAACAAAACCTTCATTATCACAATCATGCGTGTGAGGTTGTCATTTTTGTTTTTGTTGTGTCTGATTATTTAGACGATTAGGGGAACAAAGAAACAATGTGGTTGATACAATCTTGATTTTTTTTAGATTTCTAGAGCAGCGGTTATTAAACACCTCCGAATAGCGCGTCATGTGGTGGCACATCAGGAACCAATGAGCGCGGTCTTACTGAGTTGATAATTTATTTATAAGGGCTGGAAAAATCTAGGTGTTATATTCCAGGGCTCTGATCTTGTATTTTGAGCGAACCTTCCAGAGGATTCTTATCTGAGGTACCATTGTGAGTTACACGACCTCAGTCAGGTTTTCTTTCTGTTACTTCTGTGAGTTATATCTGTATTATGCACCCATCTGTAGGGCTGAAAACTGTCATTTTTTGTAAACTTATAGATTTGGTTGATAAGATTAGTGTCTTCTCCTTTTGTCTTATCGGTTTCATTTCGTCAGTGAGCAGATACATTGCTTTAGACTAGAGACAAGTTCAGATCAATAACTTTTAAACGCGCAAACTTTGTGTTCATTTTGTTTGTGTTTTCTGACGGAATTCTATTCATTTTTCAATTATTTTATTTTAAGGGGACGTTCTTTTTGCCCTTCTCCCGGGATAAGAGCAGAAAAAAGGTTAAGTGTGAAACGTATATATTATTATTGTTATAAGCGTTTATTTCTTTATACTCACAAAATAATATACATTTGTTTCATTTTACAGGTGGGGCTATTCCATTTTACACATCCAGGATTGAAAAAGAGTGCTTCGAACTTGCATCCTAGTCAGATGTCCAATACAGACAGTTCTCCACCTTGGTAAAGAACCTTTGAGCGGAACCTCTTGTCGGAACCCACTGGACTGTCACGTGAGACTGAGGCGACAGCAGAAATGTTTCCAGCAGTGTACGTCTTCATCAGGTGAGTTCTCAGATAAGTTAGGTCCTGCACTTTGTATTCTGCTCTTCTTTCGTTATGCATGACGGTTTATATGGACTGATGCTAGTTTTCGCAGAACTACCAAACTAGCGTAAACTGAACAAATCTACAATTACCACTTAGTATCTGAAACGATGGACTTGAAAGGCGATCTTCGAAAAAGTTAACTTGCTGTACACTTAACTGTAATTGTAATTCCACTTATTAAAAATTCCTGTCTTTGTTCATAGATATGGCTGGAAAGCTGCTGAGACGTACTAAGCCCAGAAAGCAAAATGTTTCATGAGAAAAAAACCCACACTTTCATTCTTATAACATCTGTACCTACATTATGTTGGGTTTTTAGAATTTGAATTTCTATAAAATATTTCTTGAGCACATGCAGCCAATATCACATATTAAGAAACTGGATATTTTCAATTTTAAAAAATCCGCCTTAATGCATGTGAACAGCTAGGCGACGATGTGTTTCCTTATCAAACTTTTTCAAACGTCTCTTTCAGAATTTTACGTGTTAAAAAATATAGATCACTGGCGTTTAGAAGATTTGTACTTTCAATAAACTACAATCTAGGCGCTTCATTGCTTCATACTAAAAACACTAGAGGATCATGTTAATACCAGACGCTATTGAAGCTTGATTGCTATGTTTGCTTATAATTATAAGCGACATGACAATGATATTTAGATTCAATGATTTTTAATACAGGTAAGACGTTACGCATGTTTTGGCGGTATCATATTTAATTCTTATGGCCTTCAATAAATAAAATCAAAAGGTGTAAAATTCTACCTTATATTCACGAACACCGGTGCGCACCAGGGTTGTGTAATTCCCTCTGTCTTGTCTACACTCTACTCCAGCAACGGTATTTCTAACCACAAACGTATTAATGCAATACATTCTTCAGAAGATTCCATTGTCTTTGGCCTTGTGCCAGCAAATAATGATGAATACAGGGACACGGTGAATACGTTTACTAACATGTCTTATAACTTCTTCCTTTTACTTAATGTTACAAAGAGAAATTGATTAATTATAGACTTTAGGGTGTAAAAAGACCCATTGCAGCAATTACTCATTAACGATGAGACAGTTGAGCTTGGAAACTTCTACAAATTATACATGGGAGCAAACATCGACAACAATATATCCAGGCTTCCTCACGCTGCTCTTGTGTATCCAAGAATAATACTAATACTAATGATAATGATAATAATAATGATGATGGTAATGATAATGATAATAATAATAATAATAATAATAATGATGATGGTAATGATAATGGTAATGATAATAATAACAATGATGATGATGATGATGATGATGATGATGATGATGATGATGATGATGATGATATTAATAAAATAATATCCTCTGTAAGGAAATTGAGAAGTTTTAAGATTGGTAATCGGATTATGTCCTCTTTTATCATTCCGTGATCGAAATCAATTTGTTTTGTATTTGCTGCTCGGCTGGAAACTTCAGGATGCAAGACAAAGAAAAATTTGACTTATTCATGAAGAAAGCCAGCGAGATATCTTAACATTATTTTAAAAGGACTGGTATATTTATGATAAAATAACAGATATGAACTAATTAACAGAATCTTAAACGACCTGTCACGCCTCTTGTCCACATAAAATTAGTCATGCAGGAAAGGACCAAAAAAAAAAAAAAAAAAAAGAAATTCCCTACCATTTCCAGCTTATCTACTACTGCTGCCAGAATGAAAATGTCCATATATTGCTGTTGATTTTTTTAAAAATAATAATACGCACTAATATAACTACGTAATTTTCAAAATAATCTGACAAATTTTTATTCCTGCGTGTGGTTTGAAAAATGCATTTGAAGTAACATATTGTATCACTTTCAGGTTCTGGCTTCTCTTTTATACAGATATTCTTTTATGAAAGTAATGCACAGTTTAACTTCTATGCATATTCACGTGTTTTTATCATTCCTGTAATGCCGCCAAATCTTATCTTATCTATCTGTCCAATCTTTCACAATACTGTTCCTCTTATTCTCCAGAAACCCATTTTGCAATGCAGGAACTATTTCAGGCAAAGACCTGGGTTACACATTATGTACACATAACACACACAAATACACACACACACACACACACACACACACACACACACACACAAATATAAACACACACACAGGCAAACACACACACACACACACTTTCTCTCTCTCTCTGTCTCTCTCTCTCTCTCTCTCTCTCTCTCTCTCTCTCTCTCTCTCTCTCTCTCGCTCTCGCTCTCTCTCTCGCTCGCTCTCACCTTCCCCTCTATCTCTATCTCTCACCCTGCCACCTACTCTCTCTCACCCAGTTCCCTCCCTCTCTTTCTCCCTCTAACCCCCCCTCTCTGTCTGTCTGTCTGTCTGTCTGTCTCGATCTATCTATCTATCTATCTATCTATCTATCTATCTATCTATCTATCTATCTATCTATCTATCTATCTATCTATCTATCTATCTATCTATCTATCTATCTATCTATCTATCTATCTATCTATCTATCTATCTATCTACTTCCTTCCCTCCCCACCCTCTCTCTCTCTCTCTCTCTCTCTCTCTCTCTCTCTCTCTCTCTCTCTCTCTCTCTCTCTCTCTCTCTCTCTCTCTCTCTCTCTCTCTCTCTCTCCCCCTCTCATTTACATAGTGTCGTTAAGGTACAAAGACCTGCCCTCACCAAAGGACAACATTAACTGCAAACGACCAGAAGGACATTGCCTTATTATTACCGGGAAATTGCACGGCTCTTTGATCTCTTGTTCCAAATGATTTTGCTTCTGGAACCAGTCTAAAAGAATAACAAGATATAAAAAGAGAACTGACGTCTGTAATGTGTAGTGGTATGGCGCTTCGTCGTCGCATGCAAATGACATGAGTTTGATTCGCGTGTGGGGAGAATTTTTATCAAGTATCTCAGTCTCTCATACCCGTGTGGTTCCCGAGGCCCTGTCCAAGAGACATGGGAGCAAAGAATAGGACCACTGTATCCGTACCGTGCATGTCGCAAAAAGCGACTAAATAAGGTCGGTTGGGCAAAGGGTTAGCAGCCCTTTCCCGTAAAATAAAAAAGAAAGCAGCTTCAAAAACATCGACAGCAAAAACAACACGACCGCCAGTTCTGGAAGATGGAGGAAACAGCTAGAAAAGGATGCACAGGACAGGCTTCGCTGGAGAAATGCTGTTGATGGCCTATGCTCCCCTGGAAGTTAAAAAGGGCAAGAGAAATCTCTGTCTCTCTCCTGGTACTTTGCATCTCTCTCAGCCCAGGTTGGCCCTTACGAGCAGGGTTAAAGCCCACCTCTTATATATTCTAAATTGTGTTGATCAAGGCGTTAAACACCCAGCTTCATTAAAAAGAAACGAAAAGTCACTGCTCAAATTCTTACAGCTTTCTTCCCTACTCGTGTCAAAGCAAGTTCATATTGTGTTCTTCCATGTTTTCTTATAAACAGTTTAAATAGAAATAAACTAATGTTTCCAGAGAGTGTATAAAGATGTGAGACAAGAGGTATTATAATATCTTTAGTGACTTTCAGGAAAAATAATTATCACAAAAGACTGCTTGTGTTATGATTTATTGAAAGCCTTAGCATAGAGGGTAGGGTCTGATTTGATCGGAATATTGTTATGCCCTTTATGATGCTTTCCGTTCTTTCAAAAACTCATTCTCTCCTGAATTCTTAACACCTTCTCATACTATTTATTGGTACTTCTAAGGCCATTGTAGTAGATTTTATTGTGACCGCGAGCGATTGTTTTATGTTTGCTATGCTACATTTATAAAGTCATTTTAAAATGTGATGTATCTTTGAATGAAACGAACACTATTTTTCCAGAAAATGGAATTGCGCAGCATAAATTAATGCTTATCAATATTATTATTATTATTATTATTATTATTATTACACTATTACTTTTTATCATCATTATTATCAATGCTGTCTATAAGGTCAATGACTTGCGTTAAAAGAACATCATAATTCATTTTCCTTTTCTTTTGTTACTTTCCCCTTTCCCCAACTCCACAGTTGAAGAGATTGTGTTTACCCGTTATATAACCATAACCTATCCATTTATGTAAAGTAGATGCTTTTTTAGTCCCATATTTATCTTAGATTTATTTTATTTTGAAGGATTATTCTTAGTACAAATTATATATTCACCTAGTTTACTTGTTACCCCCCCCCCCCAAAAAAAATAATCCCACCGCCTCACTCACTCACCCACTCACTCTCTAACTCACTTACTCACTCGCTCACTCTCTCTCTCTCTCTCTCTCTCTCTCTCTCTCTCTCTCTCTCTCTCTCTCTCTCTCTCTCTCTCTCTCTGTCTCTCACGTACACGTGTCCGTATTTTCTCTCCTAACAAACCCACTGGCGTCTGCGATGTAGTGGTTAAGCGCTTCGCCGTGGCACGCAAAAGACGTGAGTTCGATTCCACTGTGGGGAGGTGTATTATATCCAGTATATCCGTCTCTCTGCTAGGACAATAATATGCTTCTCTGAATGCAGCTTGGCCCTGATGATCAGGGTCGAAGTAGCCCGTCTCCTAAATGGTCTAAATTGTGCCGATAAGGGTGTAATACCTCTACTGTTAGGCTACAGGTATAAAATCTACCAAGCAAATTTTGGCAGTGGAGATATTCTCAGTAGTAATTCTTTATAGATTCTGAAATAGTCTTGCACAGCAATTCTTCTCAGCCTATAGAACTCTTGATGTTTCAGGGTGGGAGAAAAAAGGGAGGGGGGGGCGGTGAGGGGCTGTAATAAGAGAAAAGAGAGTACTACAGTTTTAAAATCGTGTATTTTTCCATTATAAAAACAAGGCACATAACAGTACATGTATCAGTCATTCTTCACATTTTAGCATCGTGTATATACAGTCAATCAACTCATCAACATACTTGGAACCTTTAGGCCTAGAGTCAAGTGCTTTGGAGGCTTTCAATGTG